ATGCACAAAACTCAATAAAGTAATACTATTAACTGATATTTTACTATATTTTAGAAGTTATAAAACATAATTGAAAAATCTATGCAGTAAATTCTCCTCTAGGCAGCCTGCTTTTCCTCATCCCTGAGTCATTTACTATGAAATTATAAACATGTGAGTATTTTTAATTATCTTCAAACACATCCACTTATACAAGCAATATATAAAAAGCTGATAACTCTCTCTGGAATAGAGTAACAAGCTGTCTCATTCTGCTTTCTGCTGCTGTAACAAAATAACTTCAATTGAGCTCCTGTAAAGAAGATTGTTTAAGCTAATAATTTTTAAATATTTTATTATTTTTATTTTCACTGTTTATGAGTGTATTGTCTGCATGTCTGTAAGTGCATCTGTGTTATGCAATGCCCAAGGAGGTCAGAAGAGAGTGTCTCAAATTCCCCTGGAACTGAAGTTACAGATGGTTGTGAGCCACCATGTGGGTGCTGGGAACCAAACCTGGGTTCTCTGCAAGAGCAGTCAGTGCTCTTAACTGCTGAGCCATCTCTCCAGCCCTTAAGCTAATAATTAAGGGAGACTGGAATTCCAAGGTCAAATACTTGCATTTATTTGGCCCCCAATAAGGTCCCTTTGGGGATATCACAAAATGACAGAGGTTAGAAGCGACACAGTCACACACAGAAGAAATGTGCTCACTCTGCACTTACTTCTTAAAGATCCCTTATTACTGTGACACTGGAGGCCAAAGCTCTTCCATGATCAGAACCAGTGTGGGTCAACGCAGGCTGTAGCACAGAGCACAAGACCATGTGAGAAAAGCAAAAGGGTGGTGTCCCTTCATTTGGGGATGGAAGTATGTTTTCATCATCTGTTTTTAAATAGGTAATATCACTTTTCTAATGAGGACCTCCACCTGGTTTTCAGTACAAAGGAAAACAGTGTTAAATACAGATATATAACATGGGTTCTATATTTTGAGTGATTGAAATGTCATATTGAATTATGCACCTTACTGTTTTTATTGTAACAGGTAATGATTTTTCTATAACATCATCAATGGACATAATTTAATTAGTTATCTACAAAGAAAATAACTCTGTCATCTCCACTGAGTGTATATTAAGTGTTAGATACATTAAATGTATTCAGTGCTCAGTGGTTCTTAATACATAACACTGTGTGTTTAAAGGTTAATAGTCCACACTGTGTGCTACAGCCCCTGAGATAACCATTGGTGCTCTATGAGATTCATAATGGAATTCTGCATGCAGTGTTTTAGGGAATGGGAAATGGCATGATGAGTTAGTTACTTTTCCCATCACTGTGACCAATGCCCAGCAAGAAGCAAGTTCTTTTGACTCACAGTTTGAGGTGCTGCCCACCATGACAGGGAAGGCATGGAAGAAGGAGCAGGGTTGAGGCTGCCTGCTCACATCTGGGTGGACCAGAAAGCAGACAGGACAGGACATGAAGTGGGGATGGGCTGGGAACATTGAGCCTCACCTACCAAAGGAGTTCATCTCTTTTGGGGAAGTTCCACAACTTCCCCCAAAGCACCATAGACAAGGGGTTTCAAAATAGAAGGCTGGGAAGATTTTTCACATCCATACTGGGAAACATGGTGTTAATAAACAAGGCAGAAATACCTGGGTATCATCTGAACCAAGCTGCCACAATGCACAGGATTCACAGCATCATCCTTTATTGTTTAATATTATCTTCAGGCAATTGATGATGTCCCATTTCCTTCACTGCTTTGCTTGTATTACACTTTTATAATGTGGATTCCTCTAGTTTTGTTACAAAAAGATTTACTTTTATTTTATGTGTGTAAATGTTTGCCTACTGTGTGTGTGCACATGGGTGCAGATTCTTCCCACAGAGGCCAGGAAAGGGTGTTGAATCCTCTAGAATTGGAATTACAGATGGTTGTAAGCTGCCATGTGGGTGCTGAGAACCAAACCCGGGTCCTGTGCCAGAGCAGCCAGTGCTCTAACCACTGAGTCATCTCTCCTGTCCTTCTTCTAATCATTCTTGAGCTCGATCCCTACAGTTTCTCAGGACAACTTCAACATAATGATTTTATTTCTTATACAGTTTCTTGTCCATAACATTCTCTATGCACAAGTCTATGTAGGTAGGTGTATTTAGACATGCATAGGTGGAAGATATAAATCTACTGGAACATATATTATATGGAAAACATGTCTGTATATGTATATGTGTATGTAGAAAGAAAAAAGTATATGTATTTACACAGAGAATATATAAAAACATGGAGGAATTTGTAACCTCCCATTTTGTTGAATCAGTCTTCCTATGTAGCCCAGACTGACCTCAAACTCAAAGCAGTCCTCCTGTGTCAGCCTCCTGAGTTCTGAAATTACAGGCATGTTCCACCACACCCAGCTTAGAGGAATTTATTGGTACACATTTTGCATATATGTACCTGTACGTTAATATGTATATGCTGCTGAACAGTGTTCAGCAAAACAGAATGATCCCTGCTGATAAATACATTTTATTACCTCCTTCTTCCCCTCGCTCCTCTCTCTCCTCTCCTTCCCCTTCCCCCTCCCCCTCCCTCCCCCTCCTCTCTCTTCTCTCCCCCACTTGCTCTCTCATTTCCTCCTCTCCTCCTCTTACTGCCTTTCTCTCTTTCCCAGTTTTGTTTCCTTTCCCCTTTGTTTTCTTTCATACAGAATAGGATTGTTTCTTGTGGTTTCCTTGAGCGACATTTCCTTTATTCAATAATAAAAAGGTCTATACCACAAAGACACTGAAGACCACCCAGATGTCAGTATGTAAACAGAGTATTAGCAATCTGGAAGGTGATTCCTCAGGTGTGTGGGACAATTATACTAAGTTAAATTACTTCATTATTATGTAAACTTTTAGAAAAGCCTTAAAAATGCAAGATAACTAGGTTATTAAGACTTGATTATTTTATCAGAACATGAATACATTTGACTTTCATAAGCAAGACCTATGGATGACTAAGGTAAAACAAACACTGGAAAGTTATACCTGAGAGTCCAAGACTCATAGGGTGAGACTGAGGCCTAGATAGCCCACCCATTTTACAGATTGATAGAAGGCATACAATGAGAGGATCTAAAATTTGAAGTTATTTCCAAAATGTGGAGACCTGTTACTTCAGGCATGCCCGAGACAGGATCTACATAAGATCTTAAAGGTAGGCTAACATAAAGCTTGAACGACAAAGCAAACATGACCACTGATGTCAAGTTTACTAACCAACGGAAAACAAGATTGTACTTAAAGGCAAGGCACTGATGGTCTGGGACATAACTGTATGAACCAACAAGATTGTACTTAAAGGCAAGGCACTGATGGTCTGGGACATAACTGTATGAACCACACACTGACAGGAAGACAGGAAGACTGACATGATAGTGGGAAGCTCTCGTAAGAAACTCAAGATGGATTTATTCTCATGAAGTTGTTGCTTAAGCAAGGCCCTTTCTCTCTTGTTCCTAGTCTCAATAAAACTAGTAAGTTCCAGAACAGATAGTAACTTATGTCGAGAGGTGTGTGTGTGTGTGTGTGTGTGTTTGTGTGTGTGTGTGTGTGTGTGTGTGTGCATGTGTCTCAACAGAGGTGGGAAGAGACCAATATCCACATTGGGACTGACCTTATCAAAGTTGCAACTTCAGAATATTTTTTGATGCTATTATTGTCCACAACCTTTAAAATTCTCTTTTTGAAACAAATACTACTAATAAAAGTGCTTTGCTGCCATTTTGGGTGTTTACCATGTTTTAAATGTTACACTGAGTCCTGTGCTACATCACATCTTATGAGCAATTCTGTGCTACAGCTCTTAGTCCATCTCACACACAATGAAAAGAGGCCCAGAGAGGTAACTTACACCCTAGTTACACACCTAATTATTCATTCTTTTAAACGATAGGATCTGTCAAAGAACAAGAGTCCAACTTAAGAATTCTGATTTCTTAATAGCAGATTGGAATGGTGATTCTGTAACTTTAAAAAAGCAAAGTTCCAATAAAAACCCATTAACTACTTTCAAATACAGCAAGCCCCCTGTCCAGCTGTGAAAAGTACTAGATGATTCTTATTTGCCATTTGTGTTATTTACGGTCCATGACTTTTATGGTAACTGGTTCCTATTATTGGTTTCTGTTAATGTAAAACATAAGTGAGCATAAATGAGGCGTGAGTCATTTCTCTTTATCAGCCGCACAGTCTCCACTCGGCGCCCACAGAAGCTCCAGCTGCACCCTGTTAGTGAGCACCTAGTTAAAGAAGAGGCTTGTAAGAATAAGGATGTGATAGAGATCTTCGTCCATTTTGTATTATTCTCTCCGTCACAACAGTGACAGAAAGAAAACCACGTGTCATGAAGGACACAGCAAATCCAGAGCTGCCTTTGATGCATACTTGTGCAGATCATGATCGTGATGCTATGAGCCAAGAGTGGACTCCATGTAGCTAGCGTGACTGCTCACCTTAGCAGGAGGCTGTGCTCAGGGTCACCTCAGGGCGTGGGCTTTCTCCTGCTTTTCAGTTGTGTCAGAGACTGCTGTTAGAAGCAATGGTGACCACATGCCCATGCCCCACCTAAGCTAAAGCGTGACTGAATCCCAGCACAGATGTGGGGAAGTGGGTAAGAAACCCCAGCCCCACCTAAGGAGCTATTGGTGACCAATGGCTGCTGGGAGGAGGAGAGTCATTCTCGTTTAAGGGTGAGACTCTTGGTAGCTTGGCCAGACTCCAATGATGAGCCAACACTGAAGGGCATTTAGGGTGTGTACTAGAGTATGTGAAATTAAAACAAGGCAGGGAGTAGTAGGGGTGTGCAGGGAGCGGAGGGGTCTAAATATGATCGAGGTACATTGTGTGAAATTCAGGAGAGTTCAACAAAGGGGGAATACAAATTATTTGTAAATGAACTCTTAAGAAAAAAAAAATGTTAGTTAAAACAAAAACAGAATTCAGAATAAATAATACCTAAAATAAGTAAAACAACAAAAATGTGGCTTGTCTATGTTTAGAGGACCACCAGTTAAATATTAAGATTTGGCATCCATCTAAAAGCTTTCATTTAATGAAAAACACATGGGAGCGTGTCTCTGCTTACAAGACTTGTGAAAAGTTAATAACACTCACGGTCTTTTTAAATGTTTTTACTTACTGCAAAGGGAAAAGAATCATTTTCAGTTCTAGTGGAAGAAGTGTGCCTTTAGAATTAGACACAAAACAACCTGCAGCTGTACGTTAGCCAGTTAGCGCAGGAAGAACTTCTTGATGTGGTGGGGAAACGTCTGCTTAATCTGAAGCATTTTTAAGACAATCATATAAAATATGAGTGAATCTTTCTGGAAGGTAAGTGGTATTCTTATTTTTTGTATTCTTGTATTTTCTATCTCTGAGACTTCTAGAAGCTCACTGCCATTGTTGCCAGTGATGTGTCTGAAACTCTTCCATGATGAAGCATGTGTGTCTCCCTACCTTGTCAGGGGCCCTTCCGAGACATCCATGAAGTTCTGGAACAGCGCTACAAGCCTCTGGAGCCCACGTTGAGAGGGGCAGAGCCAATTAACCACTTACAGCTGGCCAGAGAGGCGCTCAAGCAAGAGGATCAGATGCGAAACCTAAATGAGAAAATGTGAGTTCTTAGCTTAGACCACACCTGGGTCATGTTTTAAATCATCAACTATCTCCTATTACTTAGTATTATAGAGAGTCTTTAAAAAGAAATTTCTGTATATGAATGTTTTGCCTGCATATATGTAAGTGTACCCATGCATGCAATGATCACAGGGACCAGAAGAGGGCATTGTGTCCCCTGGAACTAGAATTAATAAATGGCTGTTAACCACCATGTGGCTGGTAGGAACTGAACTTGGGTCCTCTGCAAGAGAAGTCAGTGGTCTTACCCACTGAGCCATCTCTGCAGTCCCTATACAGAATCTTGTAATGTGAAGAAAGGTAAAGCCACTCTTAACCTATCCAGAGGCAATCATTTGATAACACACAGTGTTGTAAATGAGGCAATATTGGTATATACATCCCTCAGAGGATAAGTGCAAATCCATATGCTGCTCCCCTGAAATGCGTAGTTGCTCAAAGGAAAGCAAATAAAAATTGCATTTTTGGAGGGATAAGTGATGATCATGTATCTCTAAAGATAAGATCTTTAATGAAAGCACATTGCTTATAATGCTTCTAAAATAAGATACGATAAAATAAAACACATTTTCTTTGAACTAAATCACATTCAGACACAACAGTGTGACTTTCCAGTTTTATTAAATCTTGTGCATTGACTGAGAAGGATAACAAAAGACAGAGGTAATTCACCAGCACACACAGTGCTAATGTGCTGGCATTACTGACTTGGGTCTCAACACATAGATCTTTTCCTGGATACTTCATTTCCCTTAAGGTACTTTGTCAGCAACAGAATTGGGTGTAACTTATAATAGACATTTTCACTCTAGAATGGCCTTACTCTTATTATTGTTATTATCCTAGCTTGTCTTGTATAATCATCATTGCAATGTATTTTGTAGTAATATTTTAACCATTTATATACTAAATGGTAATTACATTATTATGTTATTATAAAACAAGGGATTTTAATTATACTGTAATAATTTGCTATAATAAAATTACTACTATAAATTCCTATATAATAGCTTAATATAACATATAAAAATGCCATACAAAATAGTTACTAATTATCATGTATGTTACATGACAATAATTTATACAGTGGTAATTACACATACATTAAAATGTATTGTGTTATATAAAGGAACCAGAATCACCTTTCTCCTTCACAGTGGGTTTTGGATCATTTTGTCGGTTGAGGAAGATATATATATGCCTATTGTGATGAAAAAATTTTAAAGCAACTTTTGAAAACTAACCTTAAGGATAAAGGTTTCATGCATCTTAAATAATTTTATAGTTTTGGGGTTTTTCTTCAAATATTTTTATTTATTTTTTATGTGTATGAATGTTTTGCCTGGATGTATGAAAATGCACCTGTGTCAAGCAATGCCTACAGAGGTCAGAAGAGGGTGTCAGATCCCCTGGAACTGGAGTTATGGAAGGTAATTAGTCATTATGTGGGTGCTGGGAATTGAACCCAGGTCCTCTGGAAGAACAGCAAGTGTTCTTACCCACTGAGCTATCTCTCCAGGCTAGCTTTTCATTTATTGCAATTACTTGCTATGAAAATAATTAACTACAGTGTGTTTAGCAGACTCTGTAACTCATTAAGTTAATCCAGTACATGATAAATAAGAAAAAAAAAAAGACTTATGTCAATTAATTTGGGGGAAGATATATTGACGTTACTGCAGAAATTATAGAAAATTAATGCTGCTCAGATTTGGACAAGCAAAGTATAAAGGTATAAATATTTAGTAATATTACTAAAAATTCTTTTGCTTTTTCCTTAGATGAAAGGGCTGATTTTATAGCCCAGGCTAGCCCTAAATGTGGGATCTTTTTGCCTTAACTTCACCCAGCTAGGATTTCAGGTGTGCACCACCCTGCCCAGCTCAGGGTTCTTTGCTATCTTTAGCAATGCAACTTGTTTATTAAAGGGCAGGACCACTTAAGAAATAATTGACATTATTTAATCATCACATTGATGTTTGTGAAGAAATTATTGTATACAAAAGATATACACACATACACATAGAATAAAAATAATAAAATTTTTTTTAAAAAGTCAACATGGTACCATTTCTTAGATCAGCCAAGAAAGTTCAAATATCACAGTTATCTGCAAAGAAAGGTGCACAGTCGTGCTCTTCATGGAGAATTTGTAAATAATGTCTGACCTTATGGTCTTCCTGGTGACCCTTCATGCTAAAGCTTTTAGTTACTGCAAAGTATAAGATTATCCGACCAATTAGAAACAAGCTAAGTTGGAAAAGATGACAAATTAACTATGCTAAGCAACTGATTTCAATAGTTAGCCCAGGGGCAATGGTACTATCAGAAGATTGAAATACTGATCATTTGATTTCTTCTGACAGCAGTTGGATTTTTAATAAATTGGATAGCGTACAATTATATTCTGTATAGAAATGTTAGAAAGTTAGGCTTGGTGTGTCTGATTATAATGATTTCATGACAAAAATTATGGAAAGAAAAATCAGCCACGGTGGCACACGCCTTTAATCTCAGCACTTGGGAAGCAGAGGCAGGCAGATCTCTGAATTTAACACCAGCTTGGTCTACATAGGGAGTTCCAGGACAGCCAGGACTACACACAGGGGCATCTTGTCTCAAATAAAAAGTTATAGAAAGAAGTATACTCTTACTACAAAGCTGCATTTTTTTTTTAAACACAAAGACCCTTTTCCTCCATCACCAGTTTACCTATAAGAAATTAAAGACGGAATTAAAGACAAGGTGTCTGTTAGGCCTAAAGCTTGCTTTTTGATATCGGTATTTCAAGGGGAAGGTAGAGCTTTTTATTTCCAATCTTAAGGGTTCAAAGGGCAGCATTATATGTGTAGGTTTGATATGGCTAGTGACTTTTGTTTTCATATCAGCATGAAAATGACCATGTCGGGGCTGGAGAGATGGTTCAGTGGTTAAGAGCACTGGGTACTCTTCCAGAGGACCCAGGTTTGATTCCCAGCACGAACATGGTGGCTAACAATGGTCTATAACTCCAGTTCCAGGGGATCCTACGCCCTCCTCTGGTCTCTGTGGGCTTTGCTCAACACGGGTGTGCTTACACACATGCAAGCAACACTCATACACATACAATAAAAATAAGTAAATAAAAAAATTAATGGCAATGCTTTTTAGTGGAAAGAGTGTGATCTTTGCAACTGGAACTATGTGAGTTCGAGCCTTGAGTCCTAGAACCTCAATAGTGTGCACCTGAGAAAGTACTTTTACCTCCCTCTACCTCTCCTTCCCAGTCAGTCATGGGGAGGTAGACATTTACCTTAAAGGGTTGTGATGAGGATTGAATGAGACAATAAACACAAAGAGCTAGTAATATAGTGGGATATTTATTAAAATGAGGACTATCAGGCTGGGGAGGTGGCTTAGTGGGTAAGAGCACTTACTGCATAAGCATGAGGGCATGAGTTCTAATCTCCAGTGTCCATGTTAAAAAACTGGGCATGGCCACTTTCAGGGATGGAAACAGGAAGTTCACTGGGGCTGTGGTCAGCCACTCTAGCTCCAGGCTCAGGGAGGAACCCTGTCTTGGGGAAATAAGGCAAAGGGGACATCTATCCTCCTCTACCTTCTGCATGCATATGCACATGTGCACACATACAACAGTGATCAGAATTTGCATGTGCTGCAGGTATCATAATTCTGCATACCAGACATCCAAGAAGCGGGGGAAGTCACAGGTTACAAATATGGGCTGGGCTTTACCTATTATTCCAAGTTTAGTGGGCTTCAGAAACTTTTACCAGCTTTGACCCTTTTTTAAGCTCAGTAAATTTTTATTTGACCCAAGGTATATTTATATATATGTAAATAAAATATTTACCAATAGCCAGGCATGGTGGCACATGCCTGTAGGCCCAGCACTTGGGAGGCAGAGTCAGGCGGATCCCTGTGAGTTCAAGGCCAGCCTGGTCTACATAGTGAGTTCCAGGACAGCTGGGGCTACAGGGAGATCCTGTTTCAAAAAGACAAAAAAAAAAATTACTGATAATAAATCATAAAGAAATTTACTTTAAAACAATTGTTTGTTATAGATATGATTTACTATATATTAAAGTGAAAGCAAACTTGCATACCAATGAGATGGATGTGCTTATTTATTTTCATACGAAGAATTAAGTCCTGGCTGGATATTTACTACAGCAGGAAGCAGAGCGTCTCAGCGATCTTCAAGCTTGATTGGCATTTATTTTGATTTTTAAATTATCCGTGTAGACAGTGCGATTTTGCTTGAATACACAGTACAAAATGCAGAAGTGTTTAGAGACATTGCAGAAGCTGAAATTTCTGTCTTAATCCAAGATAAAGTTCCTTGAACATTTTTTAATGAAACTTAAGCCAGCCACTTATATAGTAATTTTTATAACCAAGCGTTTTAACACAGTACAATTCAAAGATGCATGAATTTGTACGCTGAGGACTGTACTTGAGAGTCTGTTTCCCAAAGCAAAGGCCATGCACCTGGGTGAGAAACTGGCTGTAGTAAGTGGAGGTTGACAGCGTGCTGGGGAGAAAATAATCAGAGTATATTATGCACACGTATGAGAGTCTCGAATAACAAAATTAATAAAAGAGTTGACTAAACCCCAGTGGATAAACTTGCACTGAGGGACATCTCAGGACACTAACTGTACACAATTGGCCTTAATACAAATGACAGAATGTATGAACTCCAGTGGGGGGAGGGGGGCCTATGGGCAGTGCCAAAGGGGAAGGGGGTATAAAGGTGATTTTATGTACAAAATACACAAAAATTCAATACAATTTTTAAAAAGTTCAAGAAGAAGGGAAACACCTTTGTTTTCAGCAATTAAAAGTTTATGATTGTTTAAGAGCAGAGGAAATGCATTGCAGTTTGTGGCATAGAAGAGTCTCAAATCTTAGCTGAGGTGTCTCAGGCAGGGCTTGTTGGCATTGGGTGGCATTAATTGAGGCGGAAAGACCCGC